TATACTGGGGGATAGTGTCATAACACAATTAAAATACTAAATAATGGTTTACTTTGTTTTAAGAGTGATTAATTATATCACATGATTATTGATTATCATCAGTGGCTAATAACCACTTATATAAATATTTGACTAATAGTGTAATGATGTTATAAAAATATTTAACAGTGATTAATTTTGTTGATTAATAATAACATAAAATTATTAATTATCACTAGTGGTTCCCTGCATGTGTAAATATGATTAACTTTGTCTTATAACTGATTAAAAGTTAAGAAAAAATTAGCACAATTATATATAATTATTAATTATTAATATATACCTTTAATAATATTGTGATGTTACTTAAATGTTTAATAATAATTAAATTTTTTTCACAAGTGTTTAATAACATCATGAAATTATTGACCGTTAGACGTGATTAACTATATACATAAATATAATTAATTTTACTTCACAAATGGTTCAAAAGAAATGAATATAATTGTATAAATTATAGATATATGGTTAACAGTTTCTTATGGTTATTAAAATACATAGTAATAGTTAAATTTGTCTTGCAAATGATTAATAGTGTAATTATATTATTGAAAAGTCTAATATAATTAACTATTTGCGATACATACAAAATTAATTATATTTGTAGACAGTCATCTTTGATGGGTAGTCACCGGGTGTATAAAATTAACTTATATTAAATTTTGTTCAAGGGAAAATTCTTTTTCAACTTGACTAAGATCTGAAGTTGGTATAATTGAAACTCGTAGGTGTAACTACACTTAAAAAGTTACATGCTAATAAAACATGTCAAAATACGAAATTGAAAATTAATACATACATAAATACATAAAGAAAAGAAGAGAAAAATAATAAGAAAGTACAAAAACTGCTCTAATTTTTATACAGGAGAAACTTACACCAATTACTTTAGACGAACTATGACACAATTTTGTAAAGATCCCAAATATGCAGCAAGTCACATCTTTCTTGTTTAAAAATAATCTCATTTAGCTAAATTTAAATAGATCATAGTTAAACTTCATATATACTGAAGCATAAAATCGTCTAGATTTTCTTTTATTCTCTCTCTTCAGTTTTTCTTTTATATATATATGCATGCGTCATCATGTCCACCTTAGCAATCATATATTAGTCTCAAGCAAAGATGCTCAAGTGTTAAAAGTTATAATAAGTCCCAAGAGCCAGTCAAAGTAAGATGAGGTTGAGTAGCATGATTATGTCCACAGCAGTGATGTTTATTAATTTTTTGGCTAATAGGGGAGTTAATTTTGATAATTCTCATATTAGTCTGATAAATCTGTATACAGATTTAGTCATTATGCTATGCTAATGTGTCAGCGATATATATCGGCATTTTTCAAGGGTCATGCGAAGTACTGACTATATTAAAGGATAACTACTATGATAAGCTATGATGGTCCTGATGACCTTAAAGAACTCATGTCAAGGTCGGATGCAATATTGCAGAGTACCTTTTGATGAAATATTTGTTTTGCTGATAAAAAAAATTAATTTCATCACAAATCTTAACTTAGAATATGTTGTCATAACAAAAATTTTAAACAAGAAAAATATGATGTTGCAGCAAAAAAGTATAAGTGTAATTTTAAGAACCATCACTAATGATATGCTTCAAACTATATTTCATAATAAGTTATAAACCCTAACTCTAATAGCAAAAACTTGGTGATGTGACCATATGAATAGAGTTGATGGTTGCAACTTGCAACAACGTGTGTCTCGTCACTGACTCATTCTCATGATCTCATGGGGAAGAAGTGAAGCAATATCAAGTTATCAACTGCGGATTTCGTGTTGGTGGAGCAGAAAACAACAAGCATTAGCAGCTGCGTTTTGGACACAACCTCTATAATGTAAGTGGAACGGTCACATTCCACTTAGTGTTTTTCTCTTTTTCTTTTCTAATTTCATTGGTTCCTTTTTTGCTACATTTTCGATTAATTCATACACATAATTCTCGTTTATTGTATATATTAACTGTGGTATTTGAAAGAATTATTATGATTAAAAAACATTTATGTTAAAAATGTTGACTTGGAAGAGTTGGACTCTCGAGGTTTAAATTTATAAAATTCTTTGTCCAACATGTATCTTATAGGTTATTAGAAGTTTTTTAATCTCATCCCAAGTCACATTTTATAAGACGGGTAAAATTGTCCATTATATCTATATGTATATGTGAAGATTTCTCACCATTTACCAATGAAACTTCCAGCTATACTTGTTCAATAGCTTTTTTTATTTTTATTTTTACTTGAATATATAAAATAATATCTATATCTTCTAATTTGAAGACATCACATAATATGTCTTATTATTCATGTTAGAATTAATATATCTTGTAAGAAATGGAGTACTGCTATTAATCTAAAATATGCTATATTGTAAACTAAATGAATATATTTTGGGCTAAAACTTGAACAATGTACAATATTACTTAATTTTAAAATTTATGAATCCAACTCAATTTCGCTACCACATTTTTTTTTTTTTATAAGTAAAGATGGATTAATTATAGTACTAAGAGTACTCTAACCCTTATACAAAGTCCATAAACTATTTCTCTGCCAAAATAGTTTGATTTTAATTAGAAACATAGTTAGGCTAAAGCAACATTTTACATCTCGTAAGGGGACAAATGACAAAACCATAACGAAATTATAGATAATCTAAAGGAATTAAGCACATAATCTTGCATGTAATTCTTTCAGGATCTTAAATATATGTAGTAGTGATTGTAATATATGGCTATTAAGTTCATGAAATCTTTCAACAGAATCAATGACTGAAAGCATAAACTATATACAAATATTGTCCATCTAACCCTTATACTTTGAAGCTGTCAATTGATATGCAAAGAAACTTCTAGAGAGGATAAAGGTATAATCATCTGCACATGAAACTCCTTTTTTCTTTTCTTCCGTTTGGATTTTGGAACTCAACCTGATGAGAGACTGGGACTAAAGGACAAAGACTGGGAAAAAAAAGAAGATAAAAGTGTTTCCTTTACACTGAAGAAGGCAAAGAAAATTGAGGAAACAAATTGGATTCAGAGATATTTGAATGAGAAATGAGATGGACCAGAAGTGATTTATTGACCGAAACTTTTTGCGTTGATTTTCTCTCTCTCTCTATATATGCACAGATTCTCATACATATGTCTTATTATCACTTAAAAGGAAAGAAATAGAAGAACCATTGTTAAGCAGAGGTCGGCTTGGTTCCCTTTGGGTGCAATGCAACTTATTGGATCTGACTCACTATACAAACTCAGTGTCTCTTACAATTTTGTTGGTCAGCTCAAATTTTGTGTTTATAGGCATGACCATGATCATGTTCATGATCAACATTGTTGTGGGTAGTAAAGTTATAAGAGTTAATTATCTATACATTGTCAATAAAATTTTTTTACACTGAGAACCAATTATATTTTTTAATTGTGTCATGTCATTATAAACACATTTACTTTTAATAGTGACATGACACAAATAAAATATATAATTAATTATCAGTGTAAAAAAAATTTATAATAACAATATATAAGTGATTAACTCAAGTTATAATTAGTTTAAAAATCAAATAATTAATATTTATCAACCACGTCAAAAACAAAAAGTTGTTCCTACAAAGTGATTTGACATTTATATTATTTTATCAATAATTGAAATTCAATTCCATCTTAAACATTAAATTGTAATTATGAGAGAGAATTATACCTTTTAATTATATATATAAAAAAACTAGTACATACCGAAACCTATAAAGTTGAAAAAGTTACGCTCCATATTAATTAATTAATATGATGAAACATAAATTGGTAGTCTAGAATAGTAATAGTCTTTTGAAATATGTGATATAGAATTAAATTTTGAGAGACACCGTACCCTGTGTATAAGTTTTAAACAATGTTATTGGGAATCCTACAAACATTGGTGTTTCGCCATTTTGATGCAAAGGGAAAAGGTATAAGCGTTCAGAGAGAAGGAAACCCTAACTAAGGGTACAACTGAAACTGAAATGATCACTCTCTGTCACTTCAACATGAACAGAGAAGGGTGAGTAGCCGAAAGTGGAAGCAGAAAAGACAAGTTTTTATAATAGAAAACACGGTAACTGCACTGATGCTATGCATTCTCGTTACAAGCTCTGAGTTTTTGGTTACAAGAGGGACTGAAGTTGCAGGTCAACCTTGTCATTAAGTCATGACTACACATGAATATCATCCATCGCCTATTTTTATTATTTCTTTTCTTCTTTATTTATATTTCAAACATTTATAGAACCACGTTTGTAGTTTAGTCTGATAAAATTCAGAAATCATTTTAGAATGTTCTTTTTTCTTTTTCTCTTTTAATTGGTAGAACAAAATGTTCTTAATAAGATTTTGATCCTAATTTAACTTTCTTCTAGCATGAAATAAATTCAATTAAATACATATTATGCGTTAGAGTCTTAGTATGATGAAGTTGAATTATTGAATTATCCATATGTTTCCATAGTAATATTTTGTACTAATAAAAAAAATCATAAGCCTAGTATTTGGGAGTAAAACTGGATGATTTGTAAGAGTTCCATTTTTCTTACTACGAACCGAACGTAGTATTTGCTTTTTTATTTTTTTTATTTTAATAAACCGTATAATGACCCTCCAATTTATATAAGTTATAGAGTTCTTCTCATAACAAAATATTGCTTAATTCATATTATAAAAATAATAATAACAGGCAAGACCTTACTTTAATAAAGACGCACTTCTAGTAATTAATATTAAAATATTTATTAATCTCTCTTCACTTTTATTTTGGTTTTGTTTTACATGATCTCAACAACGAAAGTAGAAGGTAACGCATATACCAGTAATATCAACCAAGTCTGCATGTAAAATAAAATAAAATAAAATAAAATAAAAAAGAATTTTTAACCGAAAGTAATTATTTTATTGGTTACCGAATAAACAGGTCCAGGAAAACAGAACTAAAGTTTAGAATTGAAGAAGTGTTGCCTCAAAATGAACATGTATGCAAGTGGAATAAGGTTACAAATTTAGAAGCTTCCAATTATAACACTAAAGGATATAAGCTAAGCTTAAGTTCTTGGAATTTAGTAATGAGTGCTTTTAATGCATTAACTAAGAAATTAAAATAGAAAATAAAAATAAAAGATTTTAATATTTAAAACTGAAAAATATTTAATACACTTTCTTTTTAAAGTAATTAAGAATATAAATTTCATTTAAACCTTAACCACTAGTTAGAATAAACCCTAAATTCCTTTGCAAGCTAAATTGCTTCCGACTTGATGATGGAAAACTAATTTATTTATTTTTTTCCTATTTCCGTAAAATGTGATATAGGGGTGTACTAGTTCACTGTCACACATTTTAATTTCGTAGATCTACGCAGACTGACAACAATTAATGGCAACTTATTGTACTAATGTAATAATTAATTAACCATTTTAATTATAACAGATGACGAGTTTCTGCAGTTCCAATTATTAGTTAGCTAAAAAAAATGATTGTGAAATTAAAGAACAGATTACTGCAGTCATGCAAAGTGTATATACATATTTCAACGACACAGGCACACGCTACAAAATTTCTGATGGAACATTTGCCTTTTTATACTGGGGGAACGTGAATCAAAAAGAGGTTATATATATGTATATATTTGGTTGATTCTTAAAACATTTTTGACACAAAAATGAAGAGAATAATAGAAATGAATGATGAAAAGGATGTAATTAAGTACTCACTTGTTATTTGAATACTCATAGAGTCTGCCACGGCTTGAGAAGACAATGAGAGCCACTTCTGCATCACACAGCACTGATAACTCATAAGCTTTTTTTAGAAGTCCATTTCTTCTCTTGCAGAAGGTCACTTGGCGATTTGTTGTGTTCTCAATCCTTTTAATTTCAATCTTTCCCCTCCCCATTTTTGAGTTCTTCTCTTCAAAATAAATTAACAAAAAATAATAATAAGAGAGAATAGAAAAAAATCACAACAAACATATATTATAATCAAAGAGGGTCAACAAAACTAGATCTAATCGGATCGAGCTTAGATCTTACTTGGATGAAAGTTTAAAGGAATTGAACTATAACTTCATGAACAATATATGATATATGAGAAGTTGAGTGCATATATATACTTGATATACAGCCATGTGGCTAAATAGGGTAAAGGCACATATTCTTTTAGTTTCAGATGAAAATCAAGAGCAAGATCTACGAAAATAATGATCAAGATTTGGAGATGGTGCAGTTGTAGCCCCTTTTATGAAAGCACAGGATATGTTACAATACTCTTTTTGATCACTCTTTTTGTTTTTGTTTGTATGTATGTATGTGTCAGTGCTTTTGAACATCCTTCCTCTCTTTCTTTGCCCATATATTAAAATTGTAAAAATCTCTTGGGGCAGAAACCCCTTGTGGAATGTGAAGTGTGTTTTCTCAACTCAAGAAAGACCCTTTTATTTTAACACAAAAATATGCAAGTTCAAGCACAAGAATGATCAGACACAGATCAACCCTTTATAAAATTCAATTTTTTTCTTTTTTTTGGAGAAAATCTTGGAAATTCAAGGAAACAAGAAATCTGGTAAAAATAAGAGAGAACTTGCAAACACTTTTGAATGAAAAACAAGTTGATGAACAAAAAAAATGAGAAAGATCTTGAAGCAAGGAAACAAAATAAAAAAGAAATTATGGGAAAATGAGCTTATTATGAGATTTTGCTTTCATGAGATGAAGGGCTATATGAAGAACAGAAGAATATTAAAAAAATAAAAAAAAATAAAAAAAAATAAAAAAAAATAAAAATAGATAAAACCACAGACCTGGCTAACTCTCTCTCACTCCGGCTAGTTCAGCTTTCGGAAAAATTTCTAATCCCAAAGAAATCAAAGTTCACTATAGACTTTGTTCCACTTCCATCCCCTCCTATTTATAGCCCTTTCTTTCTTTGTGTATCTTTGAAATGAATGCATGAGAAAGAGAGAGAAGAAGGAAAAAGGACCAGCTAAGCTGGAATGGTTTTTTGCCCAAATCAAATGCTAGACATCGATGTTTTAGCTAAACAATGCATCTTTCCAGGTGCAAATTAGCACCATAAACAGAAACTTTTGTTTTGCTTTTACATTTTCAATTTTCCTACCTCTCTGTATGCAATGACGTAGTAAAAATGAGTTGCATCTCCTCAGAATTGGCCATACTAAACAAGATTATGATTTATTTTTCTTCTTCTTTTAATTATTTATAACTCTGAAGAAACCCTCAAGTTTAGGGGGTGATTAAGTAAAATCCCTTAATATAGAGATTTTAATTAGGATTTTTTTTACATGAAAATATTTGGAATCGCATTCAAAATAAAACATGTGTGTCAAATTTATAATATTTATGGATATATAAATTATATTATAATTAAAATTTACCATAAATAAATATTTTTGAATTTCTAAATTAGATTTTAGATTTATGATAATAATTTATATTATTATACAAAATAATTTTATATTAAAATACAATTTACATATGAAGATGAAAATTAATATGTATTGAAAGAGATTTCTCATCACTAAAAACTTTCATTAAAGACTATTTTTGCATACGAAACTATTGTTTAATAATCCCTAATGGTTTTTTTTCTTAAAATAATTATTATTTACTTATCTATATATATATATATATATATATATATATAAGGATAACTTGACTGTAAAATTTTCATATATATTATTAATACTATATTATGCTTGAAAACAAAGTACATAAGGAAATACCAATTAAATAGTTAATTGTGTAATAGTTTTAAGTTAATCTATATATTTCATGTGAACTTTAAATGAAATTATTAGATTATTATAATTTAAAATTTAATACTTGTAGAGTTTTCTATCTCCATATAAAAGAGATAGTTCAAGATTTTTAAGAGATAAACTTTTTACTAATTATTATAAAGATAATCTATACAATAAAAAATAAAAATAATAAAAAGTTTTTTTAATTGTATTTATTTTATATTTTGATATAGAATAAGAAAAAAATAAGTTATGAATAATTTTGCATCGTTATCCATTTATAAACTATAAAATTGTCTAGTGGTGGGCCAAGACAGTATAACCCAGTTACCTTATGTATCAGAAGTTTTGAAGATTTTCACTGTAACAATATTAAAAGTCGACTTAAATGTATTTTTAAGTTTTCGGAGGGTAAATATCTTTTTGACCCTTCAAATTAAAAATTTGTATTTTTAATTTTTCTAATTTCTAAACAATATATTATTTTTTTTTGATTTAAAATTTATATTTTTAATATTTAAAAATATAAAAAATATATATATTATTTTATTTTTTCAATTTATAACTATTAATTGTGATATTAGTAATTAAAATAATATTTTTTAAAATTATAAAAATTAAAAAGTAAATTTTAAATTAAAAACTTTTAATATTTTAGAGACTAAAAATTCAAGTTTTAAATTCAAAATAACAAATAAATATATTCTCTAAACTTTATATCCTAAACCAAAATAATTATACTCCAAATTAAAGAAAAGTTTCATTGATAACAAAAGTTTTATCTCTCATTGATATTGGTCTATATTGGTTAAGCTCCAAAAAAAATAAAAAATAACAGTTTATAATATAATAATATTTTATTTATTTATTTTTATAATTGATGAGTACTCTCATTGATGCATAGACTTTTGTAGGTAATTTTTTTTTCTTCATGAAACTAATTCATATTAAAAATAGAATGATATATTTAATTGTGGCTCCGTGTACTAAAATGCGATTCCTGGGAGGTAATTAATATAACAGTGTTTGAATGTCGAACTGTGTATAGTCATTAAGTTCTACAAAGAATTCCGCTAAGAGGAGTTTAAGTTTGTACAACTAATGCAGAGAATCTATCATTTTCAGTCTAATAAATTGTGCAGGTGCCAAACATTCGTACCATTCATATAAGAGGGTTATTGTTTAGCTTGAAATTTGAATGGACAAACCTCAAGGACTCCCTCCTACAAATTCTACAAATTAATAACGGAATGCATAGATCAAATGATTCAGGACTATTTTAATTTAATTAATAACATTTAATTTGAGTTCTAAAATTATCTTATATATTCAAACAAAACTATCTCACAAATAGTCTGAAAAAAAAATCCAACAAGATTCATAAATTATTATACTACTAATATTTTACTATATGTAATACACATTAAATATTTATTATATATAACTATTTTTTTAAAAAAAAATATGTTTGAATATATCTATTAAATTTGAATTAAAAAGATATTTTTAAATATATAAATTATATTTTAGATTTATGATAAATAATTTATATTATAGTACAAAGTTATTTTATTTATTGATAATTTATTTTAAAAATATTAAAATTTAATTTATAAATAATTATGACTAGTAAAACCAAATTAGATATGAAGTTAAAAAATATTTAAAAATTTACTCGTAGAAAAAATAACTCCTTAAAATACTCTCGTACAAAATAGTCATTCATGTTTTATATATAAAAGTTGATATTATAGTATAAGATTATTTTTATTTATTGATAATTTATTTTAAAAATATTAAATTTTAATTTATAAATAATTATGATAAATAAAATTATATTAGATAAGAAGTTTAAGAAATTCCTAAAACCCATATCTTTAAAAAAAATTCTTAAAAACATTTTCGCATAAGATAATTTTTCATGTTAAATATATAACACAAGATAGTTATTTTTATTTAATATCTAGAATCAAATTCTAAGTATTTAATTACTATTTTGTAGATATTAGTAGTCATATAATTAATTTTTAATATAAAAATAAGTAAATTATATATAATATAAGAATTGACCATATTATATCTTTTTTTTTAAAGATAAAAAGATTATGAAAATAGTTACGTTGAGAATCAAATTAGGTTTCCATGTTTTTTACTATCTCAATCTATCTCTCACCATTAAACTAACCCTAATGATCAAATTGATTGTTTCCAAGATTTGGCTGAGATTATATAATAAAGAACATAAAAACAACTTAACCCTTTTTTTTAAATATACATCCATTGATTAATAATATACTTCCTTCACTTTTTTCCCTCTCAAATACCCTTTAATTTTGATTTTTTTGAAAAATACTTTTTAGAAGTATAATTTTATTCTTTTGAATAGCATTTTTTTAGAAATATTTTAGAAAATATATTTTTAGAAAGTACTTTCAAAGAGTAAAAACATACTTTTAAAAATTAGTTTTTGAAAGAGTAAAAAATGTTTTTGAAAAGTATTTTTGGGAGCCATATAAGTTTTTATTTTAAAATTTACTATTTTAAAAGTTATTTTCTTGAAGAATAAAAGAGGTATATTGGATTAAAATTTTATAATATTTTTTTAACATAAAAAAGTCTTGTCAATTTTGAAAGACTTTGTAAGAATTTAATGACTTTCAAGATTTTTTCTTAAAAGACTTTGTAGAAACGTAATGATATGTTTTTTTTAAAGACTTTTTAATCAAGATTTTGTAATATAGATTGTAATGGATTTGTATTTTAAGAATTTATATATAAGAGTTGAAAGGATTTTATTAGATTTTAAAAGATAATATAAATTTTTTTAAAAATGTTAAGAGCTAGTTATCAGGACAAATATCCTACCATTTATTCTCTCATTATTATGATGTAATTTTATTGTTTACTCTAAATCCTATTATTTTAAAATGTTCATAATTTTTATGTTAAATAAGACATTTTTGTGAATCAAAAGATACAGAGAAACTTTTATCACATAATTGACTCACTTGATAAACTATATAATCTTGAATTTAGCAAGATGATCTTAGAGGGAGGACATAAGAGTACTCTTAACATTCATTTAGGAGCTACTAAAATGTATCAGAGTGGCACAGCGGAAGCGTGGTGACCTAAGGTGAAGAGAGAAGTAGAGGAATTTGTGTACTCATGTGTAGTATGCCAGAAGTCTAAGGTGGGAACACTAAAAGTTTTTAGGATTTTTATAGCCTTTAGACGTCTTAGTTTGGAAGTGAGATTTTATATCTATGGACTTAGTTGTAGTTTTCTTGGCATGCTTAAGAAAATTGATCTTATTTGGTTAGTGGATAGACTCACCAAGGTGGTTCACCTTATCCTTGTTAATATTAGATATTCTTTAGAGAGGTTGATAGAGTTGTACATCAATGAGGTAGTGAGGTTACTTGGATTTACCTACTAGTATAGTTTCTAATAGGCAACCGAGGAGAGTGCGACATAGGAATTTGAGAGTCAGATGCGAGAGTACTGATGTCATTCTTTGCATGTAAATTTCGGGGACGAAATTTCAAAAAGAAAGGGAGAATTGTAACATCCCGAATTTTCTATTGGTAAATAGTAATTATTATTTATTTTATATTTGTGGAGATTATGTTCTTATAGTTATTTTAAAGGGTTTTATAGAATGTTTTAAAGGTTTTTAATAATTATTATTATTTTGATAATGAATATTTATGAAAATTATTTTTAATATTTTGATTTTTAGTAGCCCAGAACGGGTCGTTCTCAAACTGGAACGGGCCATTCTAGACTACTAATGGCCTAAAAAGACTAGGTTGGAACGAGCCGTTCCAACACATGAATTTATGAGTAATATGCGATACCAAAACGGGCCGTTCTGGTTATGAAATTTGCGTA